CCAGCAGCAGCCGGCCTGCCCCAGCTCTCAGCCCATTCACAGGCCCGGCTCCCAGTGGCTACATTCAAGCTGGTTCTGCACTTTTCTGTAGCACTGCTTTAAAATAAATACACACGCCTCTCCGAGGAGAGCCCACCCCCCAGCAGATTGGGGGAGTCCTGTAGGGAACCCCAACAAAAGCAGGCTAGAGGTTAACTGTTACCCAGTAAGTACCCGTTACCTGTGCACAGAGGGAGTCCCAAAGATTTTAGCGAGGAGAAAAAGACCCAACGCACGTGGTGAAACCGGCTAGCAAAACCCTGCGGACAGAGTTCAGTCCTGCGAGGCAGGCCAAGCCGGCTGAAATTTTCGGGAGTGACTTGCGACTCTGGGGCCTAACGTGAAACCGTCCAAAGGGACCCCCAAACTGTCAGAGCCCCAAGCCCCCACCCCTTTAAAATGTCCAGCTTGGGGACTCCAAGACAAAAGGCCTGTCGCTTGGAGAACACCGGCCAGCTCCCACCTGGAGGCAAAAGGGCATCTCCAGAACAAGCACTGGCCAGCACCCCAACATGCCTCAGCGTTTGCTACTGCAGCGCCAGGCCCTTCACGTGTGCCAACCAAGACCACGACTGGCCATTAGCAAGTGGCACCTGCGAGCTCTTTGGCATTGTCACTTTGCTGTCGGGGTGGCAAGAACAGGACACTTGGCAACAAGTGAAGGGAGACGTGTTTGGGAAACGTCGCCTTTTTGCTACAGTTCTAGTCCTGCAGGCGCAAGCCGCTGCGTTTAGGTTCAAAACCAGTGAGCCCTGCTACAGACGCAAAACCCAAAGCGGGCGGGGAGGGGAGAGGAGAGGAGAGGAGACAGCACGTCATTATTTAAAGTAACTTTCATTGGGTTGCTCCCAGCATTTGACAACGAGGGTTGCCAGATAGTTTCACAAAAAATACTGAACCTGGTTGAGCCTCCCACCCTCCAAAAAAAGAAAAAAAACCCACACTTCTTCCAAAGTTGAGGGGGGAAAAAAACCTGCACACGCACGTGCACACAAGGAAAAAGCACCTTTAAATCCCCCTGGCCCTACCAGGCGCGGCAGAGGAAGAATGTTCCAACTGGCCTTCCAAGAAAAACAGAAAATACCTCACATTTTACATGTCTGCAAGAATGTTCCAACTGGCCTTCCAAGAAAAACAGAAAATACCTCACGTTTTACATGTCTACTATTTTCTGGTTTTTTTAACCAGACAGAAGCCGCAAATACCAGACACCTGGCAACCCTATTGACAACAGGCAAAAGGTAATTAAAGGGCCAAGCTTGTGGCTTTCAGTTTTAGTCAATAATAGGGATAGACACAAGGCCAAAAGGGATTATGACCATCTACTTGGCCCTCCTGCAATCCCACCCCTATTCCCAGCTCGGAAGAGGCAGCGTCCTGAATGCCCCTCTGTAGTGATCGCGGCGATCGGCGCGCCTTTCCTCCGCCGGGGTGGAGACACCCAGGCCTCCCGTCTGCAGGGAAGCGAAGCCACCGAGGCCTTGCCGCAGACAGCAGGGTCCCCGCCCCCCCAGATCTGCACTCACTTCTTCGAATTCCAGCGCTAGCTTCTGCCGCCGGGCCTGCTCGCTCTCCAAGTTGGCTTCCGTCTGCTCCAGCTGCGCCTTCAGCTGCCAAAAGCAAAGTGAATCAGTCACGTCGGAAAGGCCAACTGGCCCGGACAAGGACGCTGAAGCCTGCTACACGGAGACAGACCCTAGAGCTTTCCCCAAAGGGAGCCGCCGGGCCCTGCTTCTAGCCTCGAACCCCTTCCAAGATCAAGCCCATGGAAATCTCTAGCCAGCCGACTGACACTTCCTGTGTCTGCCGGTTGGGCGCTAGATCCCACCCCGGTTCCAGCCCCAGCTACCTGATCTGGAGCCAGAGGCAAAGGCCACGAGTGAAGTGACGTCCCCATCACCCGGCACCTTGGGGAAAGCTCCACCCGAGAGGGTTAGGGCCCAAAGAGCAGAGAACGCAGCCCGCAGTAAGCGACTGAGCAGAGACACAGGAGGCTGAAAGACGCCTGGTTAATTCCTGGAACCCAACGCAGGTTAGTGATTTAGCAACTCGGTCCTGCCCAAAGTCCTTCCCCCTCCGGGCACACTGAGCCTGAGCCCAACAAGTTCGCTTCTCTCCATCCTCGAAGGCCTCCCGTGCGGACAGCCCTCCCCGCGAGTAGGCAAGGCAGCTCCCCGGGAAGCCGGCCGGGGACAGGCTATGGAAGGCAGCGGGATGGATTCCCTCTCTTCGAGGCCCCAACGCATCGACGCTGCAGGACGTCCTGCCCGTCCAGCTTCTGAGCCCGGATCCCTTCAGGCAGTGGCTCTCCAGCTGTGGGTCGGGCCCCCGAAGTGGGTCACGACCGCATTTTAATGGGGTCACTGGGGCTGGCTTTAGACTTGCAGGGCCTGGGGTCAGAGCCCAAGCCCTAGGCTGATACTGAGGGTTTCAACCCTGGGTAGCGGGGCTCAAGTTACAGGCCCCCAACTAGGCTGGGGCCGTAGGGCCCCACACCCCCAGCTCAGGCTGGCTCAGGCTTCGGCCCCCTCCTGGGGTCGTGCAGGAGTTTGTCATCGCTGGGAGGGGCTGGTGGTGCAGTGATGCCGGAGAACCCCTGGGTGCCAGAAGCAGACCGTGCTGCTGCTCAGCCAGGGGCCAGTCCACTCTCACCAGCAAGAGGGGTCAGGAGCAGACAGCACTAATCCAAGCCAGATCTCACCCCTCCTCGGACCTATCAGGGGATGGTCTCCCAGGGAAGGCACTGGGGGCTTGGACTCCGGAGACCAGGGCTGAACTGCCGGCCCTGCCACAGACTTCCCGTAGGACCTGGGCAAGTCACCTCACCACTCCCCCCGCATCTGCTCACCCTGTGTGGTGTCTCTTACGAGAGGAGTGCTTGGCGAGCCACCCAGGAGAGACTCCAGTGCCGCCCAGCGGATTAGCAGAGCACCCACTGCCGGCGGCACGAGTTTCTCCTGGTGGTACACGTCTGCACACGCATCGGTGCACATCACATTTATTCTGCACATGGATAAAAAAAACCGAGGGCAAATGGCTTACTAGGTTTCTGTACAGCACCTAGCGTAACAGGGCCCACTAGAACTCCCAAAAGGAAGTGGGTGTTTTTTAAGCCTCTCTAACAAATAGGCCATGGTGAAAATATTGGTTACGTGATGCTTGTTCCCCTCCCTCCTCTAGTTCAGGAAATTCCCCCCTGGAGAGAAGCCCGACAGCGACAGCAGAACACACACATCCACAGGCATCAGTGATGCTACAATGATCATGCAGGTGCCAACAGGTGTTAAATCGGTGCCTTAGCATGCAGGGGTCTCACCGCCCTAACCTCGAGGGGCTCGCGCTCGCTTGGGTCAGCCTGCGACCCAGCTGCTTCTCCATCGGGCACTTGGCTCTTCATTTCCCTCAACTGCTGCCTGACCTGAAACAAGGACCAGCAAGCCTGGCTCAGTCACACCCCGTGGCTGTCAAAGGGTGGGAGAAGCGTCGAGGCAGAGAGGGTGGCCAATGGAAAACGCTCCTCGCTGCAATCCGACTTGGTCTGCGGCCTGAGCAAGCCAACAGATGTCTCAGAGGGGGCTGAAAAAGCTTTTCACAGTTTTTAAAGTTACAGACTGACACGGCTAATAACCCTCAGATTTTTTTTTAACATGCAAGGCACAGCATTTAGCCGTATGAAGCGGGAATCCATCAGCTGGTCTCTTAGTTCCATGCCGATTCATCTGGTGAAGTGGGTTTTACCCACAAAAGCTCATGAGTCTATTTATTTTGATTAGTCTCTAAGCCCTGGTCTATTTTGAAATAAGAAGCAAAGCATCCACACTACTAAGATCGTTACTTTGAAATAACAGGCTGGCTATTTCAAAATAACTACTCCCGGCTTCGTCTACACTCTCCGGTTGTTTTGAAATAAGTGATTTCAAAATAATTCCTCCCAAAAGACCTATTTTGAAATAAGCTTATTCCTCTTTACAAGCAGGAGTGATTATTTTGAAATAAAGGGTTTGGTAGTGGGGACGCTCACCTTGTTATTTCAAAATAGCTCCCCAGTGTAGACATGTCCAACTTCCCTCCAGAGTCATTCGAAGTAATTACTCCCCGGTGTTTCCTGGAGCTCTAAGTCAAGGTAGCACGTCCACATTAACAGAGCCGGCCTCGGACTAATTCTCCATCGTGGGAACACGCTATTTCGATTTTGTTATTTCGGGAGTTATTATTTCAAGTTCGGTTGTTTCGAAATTGTTTCCTAGTGTAGCCACGCCCTCAGGTGCCACAGGATCACTCGTCGGTTTTTGAAGTCAACAGAAGGGCGACAGAGCGACTGGGGAGAGAGATTCACGGAGCTGCCTCAGGGTGTGAGACACCCCAGGTCCACCGTGCTCCTTCGGAAACCCCAGAAGGGATCCACAAAGATCAAACCCAGAACGTCGTCCGGAAACGGCCCAAAAGTAACGGTTCCACGTTCATCTGAGCGGAGTCAGGGACCCAAGAACAGCTGCAGCCTCGCTGGCATGGATGAAGCCGCACCAGGAACCACCAGCAGGGATGTTCACTGCTGCTAACGCAGCCCGCTGGAAGAGTCACATGCACAGAGCCCGACCCTGCAGGGGAATCTCCACATTTCTGTCCCTTCCTGGAGTTCCTCCGACAACACAAGGATCGGAGCTGGGGGAGCCAGCTGGAGGGTTGGGACCCTGGCCCCGTCCATGCTTTTGGAGCACAGCAGGTAGTAAATGGACAGTTGGTAACATTACAGGGAGGGCGCGGGGCTGATAAATTCCATGTTGCCCTCCCAACAAGTCATCTGTGCAACGACCGATTCCCAAGCTCAGCTGATTTTGTAATGGATCGGGAAGACACTCGAGTTGGCAGTCAGATCCCACGTAAGGTGTTTACTTCTCCGGGGAGCTGTGACATTCACAGCACAATAGCAACGGAAGGGCAGAGAAACAGCATCAAACACACTATTAACCGCCTACAACGTGGGGGATGGGGCACAGCTCCTTTGTTTTCAGTGATGGGAGGGGGGGAGTGTCCTAAATGGGGTCTTTCTACAACTTTTTTCTAAGCCACGTCAGCCAAAACGTGGAGCTGAGCAGGGACGCAGCCCCCTTGCCTGGCTTTGTTTAGCCACGTTCATTTTTTACGTGGTCTCCACTTCTGCGCCGCAGAACAAATTTCCAACGAGTGCTATGGCTACTACCAGGAGAAGCGGCATGTTTTTCTGCTCACTCTGCGCACGAGTTCCACGGTGGCTCATTTGCAACGTTGCACAGAGGCCTTGTATGGAGACAGGGGTTTGAAGTTTTACAACCAGGCTTGTCCTGGGATAAGAGCCACACGGTGAGTCGCCAAATACCTGCAACTCCTTCGCTGGTTAATTGGTGTCATTATCTCTTAGCAGATACAGGTCTGTGACCACTATCTTCATGAGCCAAAGGATTATACCTTACAGTGTGCGGGAGCATTCAGAAGAAGCGACTGTGGAGCGATACTGAACAGCCTGGCTCTTGTCTATTTAAAGAGCATAACCAACCCTCAAGATCTTATCGCAATAGCGAAGATGGTTTCCGAAAGCTCCAGTCCCTGGAAGTACACAGCTGCGGGAGACCCACGGCTTTCATTTGACCAAGACTCGGCTTCCAGCCCTCGTGTTTGGAGGGAAACACTTGACTCTGCGAGCTCACAGTTTCCAATCCCAGAGCGCAACCAACCATCTAGCATAGAAGAGTCCGGCATTTTGAAGCCAAATTCATGATTTCTTAACACTTATGCGTGGTAAGACTCGTAAATTCTTAACATTTCCCCCTCTTAGAGGGGAGTCACATCACACTGTTCAAATGGGTTCCAAGACAGGCAAAGCAGCCTCTGTAGGACTAATTCCTACCTACAGAAAAACCAGTTCCAAAAAGAACCCAAAGTAAGGTTTCTCCTACCAGTAGATGATCCAGAAGGACAGCTAAGTGACCCCAGATGCCTTCATGATCCCGCCCAGAAGCAAGCCCACTTCAAATCCAATTGGAACCACTAAAGCAGGGGTGGGGAACCCAGCGTGCCTTGATCCAGTCCCTAAGGTTGGGAGTCCGCACCAGGATTGGGAAGCTGGTGTTGGCACTCCAGCCTTGTGCCTCCCCCATGCCACCCAGACCCCCGCACCTCCCACTTTGCTCCTGCACCCACCCCTGAACTAAAGGAACGTGTGAACATAGGTATTCGACAGATGGACACGCTACTTTTAAATAACATAAAGGTTGCAGAATCAAGCACTATTAACCCAGGAAAGGCCAGAATTCCAGTTGCAGAATCAAGCACTATTAACCTAGGAAAGGCCAGAATTCCGGTTGCAGAACCAAGCACTATTAACCCAGGAAATGCCAGAATTCCGGTTGCAGAACCAAGCACTCTTAACCCAGGAAAGGCCAGAATTCCAATTGCAGAATCAAACACTCTTAACCCAGGAAAGGCCAGAATTCCGGTTGTAGAATCAAGCACTATTAACCCAGGAAATGCCAGAATTCCGGTTGTAGAATCAAGCACTATTAACCCAGGAAATGCCAGAATTCCGGTTGTAGAATCAAGCACTATTAACCCAGGAAATGCCAGAATTCCGGTTGTAGAATCAAACACTATTAACCCAGGAAATGCCAGAATTCCAATTGCAGAATCAAGCACTATTAACCCAGGAAATGCCAGAATTCCGGTTGTAGAATCAAGCACTATTAATCCAGGAAATGCCAGAATTCCAGTTGTAAAATCAAGCACTCTTAACCCAGGAAATGCCAGAATTAAAGCTACCTTGATCAGTTTTACCCAGTAAGTCAATGGGAAGATTACAGCGGCATTTCCTAATTCAAGCACTAGACTTTGCAACCTGAACATTCTTCTAACATTCCTTTGGGTGTGCGCATAATTTTGAACCGTCTGCCCAGAGAATCACTTAGCTGGATGGTAACTCCTTGGCATTGGGATATCTTCACAATGTGTTTTAAGTCCTGTCTGGGCTGTATATATTTAAAGCCGCTTAGAGTCATGCTCCTGCCTGGGAATCATCTGGCACAGCTGGAACCCTGAAAAATCTAGCTAACCATGACAGCATGGTGGGAAACCCTTCGCTATCTTCTCCAGCATTTCCAAAATACAAATCCACCTGTAAGCTAGCTCCATGGACATTAGGGTTGGACATAGGTGAAGTCAGACTCCATGCTGAGTTTAATGGCGATCTGGGAAATTCACCAATGTCACAGAGTCCTATTTCTCCTCTGGCCAACCATAGCATCACAGCTTCCCAGTCTGCTGAACTCTACCTTAGAGCGTCTCTATATTAGGTCTCATCTACACTAGAAAGCTGTGAAGTTAAAGAGGTACTGGTGTATCTGAAGTGCTACCATTCCCTCTCATCCACACTAGAGTGCTTTACATCAGAATAGCGATTCCTGAACACAAAGGAGACCTTAATCCAGTTTATAAACTGAATTCAGATCAGTTTTGAATGTTCCCATGTAGACAACCTCTACAGAGACGTAGGTCCAAGCACCTTTATATTGGTAAAGCTGCATCTACCCTACAGATTGTAGTGGAATATCATTACAAATAACTACACCCCTAGCCAGAATAGTTCTACTGAGACAACTTTTAAGCCTAAACCTGATGTTAGATTAGAGGTTATCTAGCAATTCGCTCTTACCAGTGCAAGCTCCTGGCTTTGCTTCTCTGCTTCTGCTTTTGCTGCATCCAGCCGTTCTTGGGATTCAGAGAGGAGCTGCCTCAACTGGGAAAAAGAAGAGGGGAGTCAGCAGCCGTGTTCGGGTCTAGAGGCAGCTGAGGGTTTGGAGTGGCAGAGTGAAGACGACATGCATTGGTTACATAAGAATGGATGGACTGGGTCAGACTAAAGGCCCATCTAGCCCAGCGTCCTGTCGTCTGACTGCAAGAAGGCCCAGGTACTTCAGAGGGAAGGAATAGAACAGGGCAATTAGCGAGTGATTCTGCCCTACCCCCCACCCCACTTTCCTCGCCCCCAGAGGTTCACCTGGTGGCCACCGAGCAAAGAGGACGCCAGGCAACCCTCCCATTGATTCCTATGGGTTGACCTGCTGTCCCATGAGCAAACTGGCCACCATGTCAACTTCCCATTGGGTTGACCCTGACGTCCAGTCCCAGCTTCTGCTAATAAGAAGTTTAGGGACAACCGGAGCATGGAGCTGCATCCCTGCCCACCTTGTCTAACAGCCATTAAGGGGCCTGTCCTCCCTGAACTTACCTAATTCTGGCTTGAACCCCGTTCTCCCTTTCACCGACACAACCTCCTCCGGCGAGAGTCCCACAAGCGGCTCTGAGCGGTCGGAGGGCTCTTTTAAACCAGCTGCCTGTTCATTTAATTGGGCAACCGCATTCTTAAGAACACAAGAACGGCCCTACGGGGTCAGACCAAAGGTCCATCTAGCCCAGTATCCTGTCTGCCGACAGTGGTCAGTACCAAGGGATCACAACAGGTAATCCTCACATGATCACTCCCCTGTCTCCCACTTCCAGAGAAACAGAGACTAGGGACATCCTTCCTACCCATCCTGGCTAAAAGCCATGGATGGACCTAACCTCCATGAATCTAGCTAGCTCTTTCTTGAACCCTGTACAAGTTCTAGCCTTCACCGCATCCTCTGGCAAGGAGTTCCACAGGTGGAGAACTCGTGGCACATCATGGGGTAAGGAACACTTCTTGACTCACTCTCTCAACCCCAATCATGATTTTATAGACCTCTGCCATATCCTGTCCCCGCCGTCTCTTCTCAGTGGTCCCAGACTTTTCACTGTCTCCTCGTGTATAAACAGTCCCATCCCATTTTCACTGCTTCTCTGTGCCTTTCCCCATGCAAATAGGTCTTTTCTGAGATGCAGCAACCAAAACTGCATACCGTGCTCTGGGGGTGGGCCCACCGTGGATTTATGTGGTAGCGTTAGGGTATTTTCTGTTTTATTAACTAGCTTTTTCCTTAATGGTGCTTATCAATCTGTTGACAGTTCTGACAGGTGCTGCCCAGAGGAGAGTTCGTCAGAGAATTATCTCGGGTGACTCCCAGATCTTGAGTGGTGACGGCTAATTTAGAGACCCCTAGTTTGTATGACTAACTGGGATTATGGTTTCCAATAAGCATTTCTTTGTATTTATCAACTGATTGCCCCAAGTGAACCCAGCTCCCAACTCAAGGCATCTGAAAGCGAGGCCCAGCACACAGCCCCGGAATAGGCCACATTACAATAATGCCAGAAGAAGTGGGCTGTGCCCACGAAAGCTCATGATCCCATCGACATGCTGTGTTAGTCTGTAAGGGTATGTCTACACTACCCCCCTAGTTCGAACTAGGGGGGGTAATGTAGCCATAAGGAGTTGCAAATGAAGCCCGGGATTTGAATTGCCCGGGCTTCATTTGCATGATCCCAGCCGGCGCCATTTTTAAATGCCGGCTAGTTCGGACTGCGTGCCGTACGGCTACACGCGGCACGAACTAGCTAATTCGGATTAGGCTTCCTAATCCGACTAGCTATACGCCTCGTTCCACTAGCTGTACAGCTAGTTCGGATTAGGAAGCCTAATCCGAACTAGCTAGTTCGTGCCGCGTGTAGCCGTACGGCACGCAGTCCGAACTAGCCGGCATTTAAAAATGGCGCCGGCTGGGATCATGCAAATGAAGCCCGGGAAATTCAAATCCCGGGGCAACTTCGTATGGCTACATTACCACCCTAGTTTGAACTAGGGGGGTAGTGTAGACATACCCTAAGGTGCTACTAGACTATTGGTTGTTGTTTATGTTTTTCCTGTTACAGACTCACTCGGCTGCCCCTCAAACTTTTGAACATGGATGGAAAAGATTAGCGGGAACATTCGTCGTCCCCGTCCCCCCGTCTCCCCCTCCCACACACACACACACAATCACCACTCACGGCTTCAACTTCTTTTGTGTAGTTCTGGCGTTCTGAACTGGCAGTTACCAAGTGATTTTCCAGCTGGGCTTCCAGGAGAGAGGTATATTCCTTCAGCTGATTAGAACGAGAAAAACACAGCGATTGGATGGGTCTCCGTTTGCATCAGAAGCATCCCTAGAACAGCAAGACCAATTCTCCCGACCTGCCCCGGGCGGGGTTTAGAAGAAATGATAACCGCATCTCTCTTCGCAACATGAAAGGGGGGTTCCAGCAGCGATGGGTCTCCTTTCCTTTTGGGGTACGTGAGGATGTCCATACCTGATCCGTGTTCTGGAGCTCTGCCTTCAGCTGGTCCAACGCCTCTGCAAGAGACTTCACTTGGACTTGTGCCTAAGCCAAGCGTCGACCCCAGAGAGAATGGACATAAAGGAAGTGTTAGCCAGCGCTATTTCCCAGCCGGATTCTCCTCATTACTAACAGCATCCAGAGGAGGATGCTGGGACAGTCCTCTTGCCAACTAAGCCGAGGATCTCAGACACAAGCTGGGTTCCTCCTGCTTAACAAGTCACCGCCGAAGTCAACAGAACGGTTTCTGATGGCCGCAGCGGAGGGAAGAAACGGCTTTCGGAGGACTTTGAAATGTTGGCTGAAGAATCAAAAACTTTGTTTGGTTTGAAAACAGAACATTTTTGAGGTTCGGGTTTTTCAACGAGCTCCTCAAAGGAAAGTCAGCCACAACGCCCTCCCCGTTTGCTTTCTGGCAGGAAAATCATTTCCTGAGCAACTCCAGTGACTAGCCACGACAAAGCTGCTGGCCACACTATGCTCAGCTACATTCACGCAACGCCACTTTCCACACCCAGGCAAGCCAGAGCACCACACGGCCAACAGACTCCCGACTTCCTGCCCAGCCGCCCACGGCCGGGAGCCAGCTTCTCTCTGTTGAGTGAGAAAGAGATGCACCTTGGGTAACCGTAGGGAGGTTACCGCTATCTACAGGACACCGACATGGAATGCCACAACGCTGCCGTCAGGCACCTAGGCCGAGTAAAAGTCACGTTCGAATTTTATAGGGATATTTTAAAGTCCATTATAAATTTAGAGTGTCCAGGCAGGGTCTCTTGGACCGGCTGGCCCAGTGGTTTTCAAACGGCAGGTTGCGCCCCAGGACTGGGTGGTGGAATGTTTGGCACTGGGTGTCCTGGCTACCAGGGGCAGGGGATTTGGTGGACAGTGCGGGGGGCTAAGGCAGACTGTGCTGTGCCTGA